TGGAAACTTCCCCTCCTCCTCTGCTTGCCCCAGCAAATCCCCCAGACCCTGTGTGGTGTTTTATATGAAGCAGCAGAGACACAGAGCCGGATCCTGGCATCTTAGAGGCTCTGGACTTGCCAGAGCCGGAAGGGGCGGACATCCAGAGGACAGTAGCCTTTGCAGTAACCCCCCCGGCCCATCTAGGGAGCCCGATGCAAGAGTTTAAGTGCGCCACATGTCCCAGAGGTCTCTCCTGCCCCTCTGGGCTCACCCGTCTCCTCGGCTCCCCTCTCCCTCCCTCACGGCTCAGCTGCTAGAGGTCTCGAGGGCAGGTCAAGGAGTCGATCCCCAAGGCAGCTTCCATCAGAGTGATGAGCTCAAAAGCAACGTCCTAGGCTTCGGTTTCTCCATTGGAAAAATAAATATGCTTACTTCTAAAGTAGCTGGGGGCGTGAAGAGTCGTATTGCTCGCGCCGGGAGCACAGCACCTGGACACAAACGTTCGGTCTCTTTTCTGCATCTCGGCGCCGGCAGCGCACCGGCTGCAGGTCTAAACGCCCATGGCAGGACCCTCGCCGCAGACGTGCGTGCAGCACAGCTGTTATACCCACTCCGCAGAGGAGAAGACTGAGGCTCGGAGGTGAGAAGGCCAAGCAGGGAGTCAGACGCAGGTCTGGGACTATGACTCAACCTTCCTGACTCCAAAGACGAGGCTCTTGCCCACGTGGCTGTGTACTAGCCCGGAGCTGAGTCAGGCGGGGCTGACTGCTGGCTGCGCAGGGACGGACAGACAGACGGACAGATGGGCAGACGGCTCACCTCAGCTCACCCTCACCCTTGGCCGGGCTCCAGAGACAGCCTGGGGTCGCCCAAGAAGCCCTCCTGCAGGGACAACCAACAGGTGAAGCGAGGACAGAGCCCATTAACGGCGGCACTCACGAGCGTGGGTGGAGGCCTGTCCCCTTCCTCTGTGGGGTTTGCTATCCTGAAAGATAACTGGAAACGCAGCGTCGTGCTGGCCTCCTGCTGCTCAGAACACTGGCCAGGCTGCCTAGGACACAGAAGCTGCACCCCGATGAGCCTCTCCAACCCAAAACCAAACTCAGGTGAGGAGTCAGGACATTGCCTAGCTATTAGGTCATCTGAAGAGGACAGGGTGCTGTGAGGTTAAAAAAAAAAAGCCTTCAGAAGTGGTGGGTGGGAGCGCTCAGGACCTCAGCACACAGGTCCTGAGCTCCTTGCTAACCGTCTCCAGGGTAAGACGATTAAGCAAGGGCTCCAAGCTTTTGTCCTCTGATTTCTCAAATGCACCTGCGGCTCCCAAGGCTTCCATCACTGCTGGGAGCTTGATCTGCTCCTAAGAAAGTCAGCCAAGAGGCACAGCCTTGGGGCTCACTGCTCCAGAAACAAACTCGAGTTTTCTCCTGGGACACAGGAAGGAACACTGCCCTGAGTCCCACCTCTGCCACAGACTGAGACACGGCGCCGGACACTTGGGGCCTCCCCCCGGGCCTCAGTTTTCCTCCGTCTAATCCCAGGAGGACTGGAACTAGTCTGGGGATGGAAACACACAGGGCTGTCAGCCCTTCCCACACCCAGAGACGTTGCCCCATTTGATCCCACGAGCCAGACTCTGCCTCAGAATCCTTAACACAGGGCTCCAAACAACTACGGCCGATAAGTCAGAGATTTTCTTTCCTTACGAGAGGAAACCTGGTTGCCGCCCTTGGACACATTCATCTCGAGGCATCCCTCAGGTGTAAAGACCTGTCATTCTCGTCTGAGGTTTGTCCCCTCGTCCCTTTTGTCTAGGTTTCCCTGGACTCCTTGTGCCTTGGCTGGGAAGTTGGGGCTGTGTTTACGCGACAGGAGGAAGAGCTCCCAGGGCCTTGGGAGTGGTAGTGCTGGTACTCAGAGCTCAGCTGTAGAATTGGGCCCTGGGGACTCTGTCTCTGCAGCTTTCGGGGCTGTCTCGCGGAGGGTGGCTTTGCAGATGGTGGCTACTCCAAGCACTGGTAGAAAGGTGCCAACACAGAGAGGTGTGGAAAAGTGAGCTCCTCCAGGCAAGGGGGTGACCGCTAGGGCCAAGCCAGAACCTACACTCTTGAGACACTCTTCTGGCCCGGCCACCCGGAACCCCATGTCAATACAGCGTCCTGCTACCGCCTGGCTGGTTTATCCGTGAAAAACATGGCATCACTTTCAAGTGGTTCCTAAGGTCTTTGTGACACAAAGACTGAAGAAATCTTGAGCTTTCCTGTTACAGTCACAGCAAGCGAGCTGCGATGGATGGAGAAGACTCGGGGCAGCTCCTTAAGCGCCATTCAACACAGAACACAGCCAGCGTTAGAAAGAGCGCTGCTGCTGTGACCTCCTCGGCCTTGAGGAGGAGGACAGGGAAACAGACGGAGCAGTCTCTGCCAGGAACAGAGGTTTTGCGTTGATTTTATGCCTTTGAAAAACATCCAGATAGAAAGCAACCCCCCATGGATTTTAGACATGCTGTTCTGCACAGCCAAACACCAGACTTTACTGACAAGGTGAAGACACGAAACTCAAATGGCAAGTTTTCAATTTCCGAAGTCACATTTTCTGAGCTTATAAGGGAATCCTAAAAGCAAAGCACTCCATGGCGCAAGGTCAGTTCAATTCCATACGTGTTTGTGGAGCACCTGCTGGGAGGATGGAGCCAAGCCAGACCTGGGGGAGCAGGTACCCGGGACATCTTTCTTGCCCATTGGGAGTTTTTGGTCCAAAGGCGGAGAGAACCAGAAGCAAGAAAAGTTTTGGTGGAAAGGCATGGGCAGCTGTCCGTCTGAGGCTCTGAGGGCTCTGCAGACCTGTTCAAACATGTCCAGGTCAGGAGAGGGGGCAAGGCTTCCTGTAGGAGGCGGCATTTCAGATGGGTCTTGGGAAAGCCGTGGAAGGGTTTTCATTCTGGGGAGAGACAGGCAGAGGCCCACGCCGAGCAGAGAAGCTCCAGGAACGAAGTCGGGGAAGGTGTTCAGGGCTTGTGGGCCTGGCGAGGAAGAGCTGCTGTACCACGGAGCTGCTGGTGTGCCCACTAGAAGGGCTGGGTAGGGAAACTGCTCCAACAGAGCAGAGCGTGAGGAAACCGGGGTCTGTCCTCCACCAGAAATCAGGGGACAGCACAGCCAGCCTGGCCTCTGGGGCCCATCAAGGCCATGGCTTTACTTTGTGGGAACAGACGGGAGAGTAGAGAGGCTCCCAGGTCCAAGGCCACGCACTGGGAGCGGCACAGGCCCAGAGCCCACAGCCCCAGGCTGCAAGCCCAGGATGCCCGTCGGTGAGCTGGGGCCCACGGCAGGCCTGCCGATGGCAGAGCACAGCACGGACACATGGACTGCGTACCGTCGCCCAAAGGGGCCAGCGCTACTCACCAGCTGTAAGGTTGAGTCACCCTGGCACCAAGGGCAGGGCCCTGACCACTCCGGTCTGCTGAGGCACTTGGAACAGCTATAGCGTTTCTGAACAGTAGTGTGGGGTCATCACCGTGAGGGTGTTATGGACAACCCCACCTACCCGCTCTGACAACACCAGGTTCTTCCCACCGTGTGGGCTGCGTAGAGAGCTGTACTAGCTGATATGGCTCTTACAATCGAAATTTAAATTAATGGAAACTATGTAACACCAGAGACACTGGCCCCCAGGTGCACGAGCCATGTTTCCAGCATTTGCTAGCCCCGTGCAGCAGCGACGGCGGCACTAGATGGCACGGAATGGAACACTTCCATCATCATGGAAAGTTCTATTGCATGGTACCGATTTGGAGCAGGGGTCAGCGAGCTGCGTGCCAGCGGGGCCTTCAAATCCAACTACCACGTGTTTTTGTAAATAAAGTTTTACTGAAACACAGCCACACTTGCTCAAAGCCTGCAATCTTTATCATCTGATCCTTTATAAGGCAAGTTTGCCATCTCTGGTGTAGACAGTCAGAAAGCTGCATGAGAATCTTTTCTGGAAAGATGCTGGCTGGCATCCCCAGCAGTCACTGGCGGACCCCCAGCGTCAGGATGATTTTACCCGGGCACATGGCCCTCCCGGGAAGGAGGCAGGGGACACACAGCTGTCAGCAGGAGCGCCAAGCTGGTTGGGGGCACAGGACACCCCTCCCCAGGCCAGCCCTGCCTCTGGAGGGACTGACCTCAGGAAGAGGCAGTAGGGCACGACATTTGGGCGACTGCGAGTCTGCCTGGGAAAATCACACGCTGGAGCGATCTCACCATGAACTTGTTTTATTTTTCTCACTCTCCCCAGGTCACTGAGGCAGCAACTTTAATAAAAAGAAGTTGAACAGTTTTCTGGTATCACCCCTCCCAAACCAGTATTCCACAGATAATTCTAAGAGCTTTTCATCACATTCAGTCTAAGTGGAAGGTCTGGCAACCCACACATCAAAAATAACTCCCTTGGTGATGTTAGGCCAACTTAGGAGCACTCGTTTCTATGAAAGGAGGGACAGCCTGAGCAGAGAGAGGGTTGCAAGTCAGCCTCCTTCTGGCCCTTTTCAAATTCCTGCAGGTCAAAGAGGAGAGCCAGGCTGAGTGATCGACTTCCTTTGGAAGGGCGGCTCCTCCTGCTTTTCCCTGTCCAGGCAGTACCCAGGGCTGCTGGACTGGCAGGGAGCCTGGGGGGTTCTCTGTGGGCCCTGCGCTCCTGCTGCCCACCAATCCCTGGTAAACTCGCTCAACATTTTTCTCCTTGTATGAACACACCCCTTCATGGAAAGAGGAACTACACTGATTCAAGAGGCTGACTGATGCTCACTTGGTAATGTCTCTATTGTCGACAGAGCGTGGGATAAATCTGTAGCAGCTGGGAAATGTCCCCGGGGCCAGAGAGGGTGGATTCTCTCAGAAGACCCCTGAGCATCTCAAATGGTAACTTCTGGGACCCCAGGGCTCCAGGAGTGCTGCAATTAGAGCCTTGCAAAATGCAAATGCACCAGGAACTCTTGCTGTCAGGCAAGCAAATGGGTCAGGGCAGGGGTTGGGGGGGGCACTGGCTTCCCTTTCTGTGCAACCAGGAGGCCCTGAGCTGGCAAACCCCCTCCCTGTCTCCAATTCCCAGGTTGAGTTGCTGAATTCTCACTCCTACCAGCCTTTCTCTGCTGATCTGTCAGAGGTCTCTTGATAAATGGAACAAAGACAACAGAACTATTCCAAATTTCCGGCCCTCCCCCTTGGGACCAGCCTTGCAACATACACATTCTCCCAGGCCTTCTTGAATTACAGAGAAAACAATAGGGAGTGAGTCCTCTACGGAGCTACAACTGGGGGTGGTTTAATTTGCAGGGGTCCGGGACCGGTCTCAAGAGTTGGGAGGTCACCCGCGCTGCCGTCTCTTCCGCCCCCGCAGCTTCAGCCGCCTGGCTGGCAGGCTGATGGGCTGCTTCCCAAACTTTTCCATGATCTCCCTGATCCTGGCCAGGTTGGTTTTGCTGAGGGTGAAGTCGCACTGCGTGGCACCCATGTCATAGCCGACCATGCAGTTCTTGGTGGACGAGGCGAATCCTTCCGCCTTGGCGGTGACCACGTACTCGCCGGGGTTCAGGAGGCGCCAGTAATCCCCATCGCTGGCTGTAAAGAGAAAGGAAGGGAATTCAGAGCCGTTCCCTTCTAAGGCAGATACCACCAGTCCTGCTATTCCAGAACCAGTCTCCCAGCCAGAGAGAGGCTCAGAGACTGGCCTCGTGGAATCTGAGCCTCTGCAGAAGCAAATTTTTTTTTTTCAAATTCTTATGGCATTTTGAATGTTTTCTTCCTTGGAAGCCACCTTAACGGTTTTACCAGGCAGAGGGCTGGGGTGTAGGCTCCCCGCCGCGTTCATACACGAGTGGAGATGAACAATCACTCATCCTCCTTCCCCGTGACAATACGCGCCATTCATTATGAACCTGAGCCTCCAACTGCTGTGCCCTCGCCACAAAACGCCACCTTGAAAAGCCATCAGTGCCTGGCTTCCTGGCCTTCCTCGGCCAGGTGATAAATACGAAAGTAATTCTTTTAAGAGGTGGGTCTCTTACATCTGAAAAGAGAAATAAAAGACTCCAGGGGACCAGGGCCAAATGATCTGGGAGGAGGCCTGGAATCTGCATTCCCTGGCCCCGGGGGTTGGGGGCGGGGTGGGCAAGAGAAATGCGAAGTTGCGGGAGCAGGGACACACCAGCCAGTGCTGCTGGGCAGGGCTCCCACCTCCCCGGCAACACATTGCTCCGTCACCCAACAAACCCACCAGGGGCCCTGGGCCACCCTTAGCGCTGGGCCCCGTCTCTGTGGCAGAGGCTTCCAGGCCAGGACTCTCCTCCCAGGAGCCTACAACCTGCTGAGGACACTTAGGCCCCTGACCTGAAAAGAGGCTTTGAGGCAAAGACGGGGTCACTGGTGACGCCGCCCCGCCCCCTCCCCCGCCCACCGTGGAGGACGTGGCGACCAGAAAGTCAAGGCAGGCCCTGTTCTGCTGAATCCCCGGCAAGCGTCTGAGGCGGGTTGTATGACAAGTCCCCTTTCCATGTGAGAGGACAGCAGGAGGTCACACGAGGTCCCCAGCTGGCCCCCAGCGCCCGGCTTGCTCAGCGCTCTCTCTCTCTCCTCTCTCGCGTCCACCTGAGTGTCCTGCCTGGTCTGAGGCTTTGGTGCCCAAAGAGAAAGGGCGAAGGGGTAAGGAGGCCCCGGGCCAGGCTCCCTTGTCGACCACAAGGCTGAGATCTTCTAAGAGACGGGAGCAGTGCTGTGTGTGTGTGTGTGTGACTGTCTCCCCCAAACACACGAAGGACAAAGCATCAGGTCCAAGTTCCATCTTTATTCACCTGAGACACCCCCTGAGATACACTCACGAGCGCGTGTGAGGAAGGAACCCCACGGGCAGCCGACGGCCGCTCACTGGTGAACATGCCTCAGTGTGGGGCTCGGGGTCCACACGGCGCCGACGGCTGCTCCCCGGTCCTCGGCGCCGTGCCTTGCAACTTCCTTCTGTAAAAATGTGAGTTTCTCAATGAAATAAAGTGCCACCTCATGGTTTCCAGAAGGCAGGAGCCTGCTGAGTCTTCTTGTCTCGAAGTCAGCCGCCTGAGCCTCACGATGCAATTCAGCTTTCGGAGATGGAAACTTCCCTGGCCGACCCCTGGTTCCTGTAGATCATGCAAACCCTCTCCTCCACGGCGTGCACCGTAGTCTGCAGTTACCTTTTAAGTTTTCCCTTGTAACTGTTCGCAGATCTTCCCCCGCTAGAATGTGCACTGAGATGATCGGCCGCATCCGTCTCCTCTACCACAGCATCTCCAGGCCGGCGCACGGGACGGGCTCCATAGATCCGGTCAAAGAATGAGTAAAACTATCAGGAGTGTGTTTAGGGTCACAGAATCAGAACGAGGGGCGTCAGCTCTGTAATCTGCAAGTTTCCGCTTCTGAAACACGGACGCTCTCCTCTGCCCCCACAGCACCCTTTCCCCCAGATATTCTCGGTTAGGCTTTCCCCGCAATTCTCCCCAAGGCTCTTATAACCTCAGCTTCTTCCCCCGATGACCAGTAAAGTCTAGAATCATCCACTTCATGGAATTCAGGGGTCATCATGGTAGGTTGCTAGCCCACGGGGTGACCAGATCTGTATTCAAGGGTGAATGTTCTAGGAGCTGTAGGAGGGGCGGGATGGGGACGTGGCTGGTGTCGTGCAGCATGGTGGATGGAGGGACAACCCAGATACTGTCACATGTCCATTTGGTAGCCGGTCAGGTTAGTGTCTGCCACACAGAGGACATCTGGGGGCATTCTGAGCCAGGTGTTTGGCCAACATACTTGCATGCATTTAGAAACACTCTGACTGGCTTCTCTCTCCTGGGACTTCAATCCCCCTGTTGATTTTCTACAAAATCCCTCCTGAAAGAAAACTTGTCAGATCACAGACACCTCGGAGAGAGATCAAGGAGATTCAGAGCAAATGTTGAGCACTGAGACGCTGAAATAAATATGATAAGGAACCTGCAAAGTGCGGAGCTCATCTATCATGAGAATACACTGGGAAATTATTTCAGGAAGGAAATAAAGGGAGAGGGGGAGGCGGCTCTCATCGGCTCATCCAAACCACCTCTGTGATCACAAAAGCCTTGAGGTTCCAAGTTCACTGGGCACAGAACTGTCTTCTGGCCTGTGGGGCTCAGCGGACTCTTTCTCTCCCACCCCGTTTAAAACCTTCCTGTTTTCTCACATGCATACAAAGTGCTAATCATCCCAAGAATGTTCTAGGAATTTTTGTGAATTCTTCTTTTACAGGAGCTTGTTAGCAATGTTTAAAATATAAGTCCTATGCGGGCCCAGATACAGTAGCCCCTTCTATCGTAAGGATCACCGGCACCCCACGGCGATCCCACCCATCTCAAGTTCAGAACCTGTCAATGAACATAAGAACGAATGAATGAGTCCGGGAATGAACGCAAGGCCCAGCATACACCGGTGAAGGGCGGCCATGTACCGAACGCCATGCTGCATGGTGGGAAAGCTCATAGGCAGCGGCTATCAGGTCCTCAAGGACAAAGAGTAGACAGGTGAGGACAACAAGAAGTATCACAGCATTACACAGCGGCCTACTGTTCTGTGGCGTGTCAGCTACAATCCACCCATGTAAGCAATCCTTGTCCTTCTGTACCAGGCATGCCAGCAGGCTCTCAGGTTAGCCTGGCACTGAGGGACAGCAGGGCAAGTCTGAAGCCCAGCCTAGCCCCTCCTTCGGTCCCAGAGGCTCGTTTCCTCAAAGGTCAAATGGGATCGCTTGTCAGAAGGACCAGGTCTGTTAGTGCATGTGAACAGTCTGGAGAAGAGGCTCCTGTCCCCTTAGGAGGGACAGCACGGGGACAAGGGCTGGGGCACGGCATTCACAGTCCCTAGCCCCTGGCTCAGATCCCGGCTCAGCCCCTCTGTGTACTCCCAGAAACATCATGTCATGTGCATTCATTCATTCAAACTCATTCATTCATTCAACAAATATTTATTAAGCCCCTACAGAATGTCAGGCAGTGTGCTTATACTTCATCGAGGCACAAAAGGGTCCAGGACCCCTGGTCTGGGACCAGTGGGGGAGCGGCAGAAACACCAGAAGGATGGCAGGTCCCAGCTTCTCCTGCCAGACGTCAGACGTCAGGTGTGGAGGGGCTATGGGAAGAGAAGGCGGGGGGCCGAGAGGAATCAGTGGGTGATGGGGCAGATGTGCGGCGTTAGAAAAGGTGGTCACCATGGTTGGCTCTGTTGACCTAGTGACATCTGAACAAAGACCTGAAAAGGGCAAGGAAGGGACTAAGGGATTCTCGAGGGAAGGAGGTTCAGATGGCAGAGGGAAGGCGGTCCTGCTAGAGCGAAGACCCCGACACGTGGCCTCAGTCCTCCAGGAGGGAGCCTGCAGGGGCACCCAGTGAGGCGGCAGAAAGCACAGGGGAGCGATTGTTCTATTTGACCAAAACTGGGGCTCATGATTTTCAGTTTTCAAATGGAGCCAGTCCTGGGCAAACTGAGAGAGCTGGTCACCCCAGAAGAAGAGCTTCGGGAGGTACCCCAGAGCCCAATCCCACATGGCCTTTGGGGGGTACCACAGTGACCCCGCAGGGGCCGGGGCTGAGACCAGCCAGCAGCCGAGGAGGTGCTGAGTGGGCATCTATTCTGCAACCAGGGACTGCCTGACCCGGGGTGGGGGTGGGGCCGAACGGAGGCTGAGCTTCTGTTCCTCATCGGCACCTTGGGGATCCTTCCAGCCGTCACAGGCTGTACAGGTGACAACACATGACGAACACAGGAGGAGGATGGACTTGGCCTCGTTTCCCTGGGGCCGCCCTTGTTTTAAATCTGACAGTCACATATTCTGGGAACCTTCTCCGTCCTGGGCCACTGGCCGCTCCATCCAGGGTCAGCTCTTGAACCAACAGGTCAAGTTCAGGCTGCATTGAACACTTGCCAAGTGGCCTCATATCCGATTTCTCCCAGTTGCTCGAGTGTGTCCGAGGGCTGAACAGGTCTTCCTCATGGCAATCACCATTTCCCTTCTCCTGCTACTGAGTTTGTGCTCGGTGCCCGGGGGGGACTTGGAGTAGGTTGAATCACGGCCCCTGGAAGCCCACATCCTACTACCCAGACTCTATGATTGGGACCTTATTTGGGAAAAGGATCTTTGCAGGTATAATTAAGGATCCCCCGATGAGATCATCCTGTATGGCCCGGGTGGACCCTAAATCCAATGACATGTATCTTTGTAAGAGGCAGAGAGGAGGAGGCCACAGAGATGGAGGCAGAAGTGGAGTGACGTGGCCAAGGAAGTTGCCAAAGCTGAGGAAGTGTCCTTCCTGGGGGCTCTGGAGGGAGCACTGCCCTGCTGACACCAGGATTTCACACCTCTGGGCTCCATAACTGTGAGAGAATACATTTCTGACTTTTTAAGTCCATGGTCATTTGTCATGACACCCACTGGAAACCAGCACAGGACCCAATGCCCCTGCTCACTTTAGCTGACACCAAAGCAAAGCCACCTGCCCAGGGCAATGACATGGCACTCTGCAGAGTCTCCCGGTGGCCGAAAACCTCTGTGCGTGGGTGTACAAGCCCCCGGACACACCATCTTCTCCAGAACCCCTGCAGACAACCTGCTGTGGGCTTCTAGACAATTCTCTTCCCTGTGCACCTGTCATCACATCAGGATGCACACGTCCCTGTCACAGTCAAGGTCACTGTTTCCTCATGTCACACCATACACACTGAGCGCCATCGTGGTAACAACGGTCCGGGGCACAAGGGAAAACTACAAGGGTTTCCCAGCAGCAGGGAAGCCCTGAGTGGCAGGGGCATGCCGGCACTGGGAGTCAGACACCCGAACCCTCTCCCAGCTGCCTCTTAAGCCACCAGCATCTCCTTTCCCCTCCCTGCACCTCTGGTTTTCACCTGAATAAGGGAGAAACCAGAAAGCACAGGCTCAAAACCTTGCTTTCCAGGGTCTCCAAGGGGAACCCAAGGAAGGAGACAAGAATTTGGCTCTCCATAAGAAGTTTCCAGCACTTGACATGTGATTTTGACCCAAATAAAACGCTTTGAGAAAACAGACATTCCCTCCTGAGAGACAGTTCATCTAGGCTCGCAGTTACCTGTTCGGATATCATGGTTAATGCCTTCCACAGAGATAACAGCATTCGGAATTCCTTTTCCATGGGAGTCTCTCACCACGCCTTTGATGCCGCGATGGACCTGCTCAGCACACGGGACAAGGAACAGGGTGAGCTCACAACGCACCCGACCCAGTGGGCACAGTGACGGCTGTAAGCCAAATGCCACCCCAGGGCCGCCAAGAACCCTCTCAAAGCCTTATCTAGCTCGACAGCCCCCTGGCTATACCCGGATTTGTTGTGTAAATTTCTGTGTTCCCCTTGGGTCCGTGCACTGGGAAGTCTTCCGCTGGGGTTCAGCTATTCCAGAGGCTTAAAAAATATTAGGATCTGAGATAGTGCATGTCAAGCGCACCCAGTAAAAACAGAATTTAATTTTTTCTAGTGCATTTGACTTTCCTGAACTCCACAGACCTAACATGTCAACCCAACGACTTAAGAATCAGAGAGAAAAGAGTCAAAGGCGTTCTTAAAAATGACAACTCAGTCCATAGGGCCCTTCTGCTAATTGGTTGCGTCATAAGACCCACATCACTCTGAACCTTGTGCCTCAGTTTCCCTATCTGTAGAACAATGTGACAATCCCGGTGATATACCATCATTTCTAATGACACTGTATGTATTACTGTACCTAGGCCCTTTATCCACAGCACAGGACACGGGATTCCTTTAGGATGATCAGAGCCTTCTCTCTTTTCAGAGAGAAAATGAAAAGGAGCCTTCCCTCGCAAAATTCCAGTGTGCGGACAGACAGCGTGCTTGCATCTGCCCAAGGGCGAAGAACAGGCTCACACCTGCTGTGCCGGGCAAGTGTAATGGGGACTGCAGAGAGTCTCCAGGGATCCTTGTGGGGCAGACTGGAACACTAGGTGCCAGGGCTGACCTCTGCCAAGGTCAGTGGAGTGGGAGGTGCAGGAACTAGGAAGCTGGCAGCTGAGCCACTGCCTGAAATTGTCTTCTGCTTCATCTACAACAACTCATGGAAGGGGCGGCCTCCGTGTCCGATCCTGTGAGCCTCAGGGTCACGCTTCCTAATGGATGGGAGTCATGGCAGTCACGTAATTGAGGCCCTTTTGTTTATTCCTCTGGTTTCCAGTTTGTTTGTTCCTTAGTGGGGCATGGATATTATTGGATTCATTGTAGCACCGAACTAGACTGGTTTACTGGATGCTACAGGATGGGCCGGGTCCTTGACAGCAGGAGGAAGGGAAGGCGAGGGAGGGTCCTGGGGGACCCAGCAGGGCTTCCTCACCAACTGTAAGCAGAACCCTGGGAGGGGCTCAGGAGACCCACTCCCAGGAGCCTCACACACCCACGGCAGGGCCTCTCAGCCTCACAGCCATGATGGACACCCCAGTATCCTCCAACAATGCCCATGGTGAAGTCCTTGTTTCCGGGATCTTAGAACGTGACTGTATCTGGAGACCGTGTCTTCAAAGCAGTGATGAAATTAAAATGAGGTCTTTCAGGTGGGCTCAGATCCAATCTGAATCCCTTAAAGGGGACTGTGGACCCACAGAGACATCAGGAGCATGGGCGCACAGAGGAAAGACCACGTGAGGACGTGGGGAGGAGACAGACCTCTGCCAGCCAAGGAGGCTCTTCCAAATGAAACCAACCTACCAACACCTTGATCTTGGACTTCAGCCTCCAGAACTTAATTTCTGTTGCTTGAGCCCCCGCCCCCCCGGGGTGGGGGGGCTATGTTTTTATGCAACCCTAGCAGACTAGCACAAGGGGCCTGGGCATGCTGGCTCAGACACATGTCACCCCGTCCCCACAGGGCAGCATCCGGTCACACTCACCGTAACCCAGTGTGAGTGATCAACGAGGCTTTACAGCTCACTCCGGGGGCCGAATCCGGTGCGGACAGATGCTGGCTCTTCCGGCACCGTGTGGGGCCGGCCCAGCACGACGGCCAGATCTGAAGCACTAACTCGACTCAGTCTCAGGCTTTCAGGCCCCGAACCGGCCCCTTCCCTTCCGGCCCCCGCCCCGGCGTGCGCTCGTGCCGCACCTGCTCCATGAACACGATTAAGGATTCTCGATTATTTTCCCACTCCTCGGGCAGCTCGCTCTCGTGCGGGAACTTGTCACAGCCCACGTAGATGGACAGCTCGAAGCAGTTTGTGTGAAGGTAGCTGAAATCGTTGAGACCTGCCGAGCCAACCGGACAACGCTGTCACCAAACCGCGCTCCAAGGGCAGGAGGGAGACAGCAAGAATGTTTAAGAACGGGATCCGGACGACCTCACTTGAACAAGGAGGTGTCCAGTACCTGCTGCAGCCTGCGAAGGAATGACAGCAAAGATGAGGGGAGGGGCGGGGCAGAGAGAGCGGGGATGCGGCCAGAATGGTTTCTGGGGAAGACAGGTGCGTCTGGGAACATCGCTGGCAAAAGGAAGACCGAAGTGTTTTTCGGATAAAATTCTGCTCAGTAAACCCAGTTTAACACACTATTTTAATAAAAATAAAGCCACCAGGAATGAGCAGTATGGACTCGAAGTGGTGGATGGAGTTCTTCTCCATGGTTACCCATGTGCCACCCATGAGCCAGGACCTGTCCTTAATGCTCTGCTTCCACTGACCACAAATTCAACAGAGAGTTAGGCAGCAGAGCCCAGTGTCACAACTGAGACAATGGAGGTAGAGAACAGCCAAGAAAGATATCCAGAACCACGTGTCTGGAAAGAGCCAGAGTCAGGGTTTGAACCTCGGTGTGTGTGACACCAAGGCCTTGCTCTTCTCTCCAGGGCTTGGGGAGAGCCAAGCCAAAACAGCAGAAATGTATCCTCCCATAGCTCTAGAGGCTGGGGGTCTGAGATCGAGGTGTTGGCAGGGCTGTGCTCGCTGTGGAGGCCCTCAGGGAGGAAACTTTCTCGCCTCTTCTAGCTTCTGGTATATGGTTGCCCCCAGTGTCTCTTGGCTTGTGACTGCATTGCTCTTACCTCTGCCTCTGTCTTCACGTGGCTTCTCCTCTGTCCCTTATAAGGACATTTGTCAATGATTTTAAGACCCATCTAGGTAACCCGGGATAACCACATCTTGAGACCCTTAATTTAATTACACCTGCAAGGTCTACCACCGTACCACCCTGAACGCGCCCGAACTTGCCTAATTATACCTGCAAGACCCATTTGTCAAATAAGGTCACCTTCACAGGTTGCAGAAATTAGGAAGCAGAGATTTTTTTTTTTTCAGGGTAGGGCACCATTCAACCCAGTACGGCTCCCAGTATTTGTGAAGCGAAGAAATGAATGGTAGGTGGCATTAAGTTCTTTCAGACATTTCTGGTTTTGAGCAACAGGGTGATCAGATCAGCGAGAACACAGGGCAGCTATGCTGTGCGTGACCGCAGGAAGCATCCACAGGATGCAGGAGGCCCCTCCACGAGCCGCCCTTGGGTTTTTCGGGTCAGGGCTAAGAGAGCAGAGCGGGATGTGCTGGGTTTCTGTGTGGTGACTGATCAAAGGAGCAGGTGCTCCTGCACAACCAGCCTCTGTCCTCACTCTGCATCTACCCTCCTTGCCTACCTCGCCATCATGCTGAGCGGCGTACTGCCCAGTAGAAACACCTGATTAGGACTCATGGCTTGGGGTATCCAGAGAAATTCCACAACAGCCTGATCGCTACAGTCACGGGCAAAATGGTACAAAAGACACAGCCACTCTCTCGGGTGGATTCCAGATTTCAACCACTCCCGTGTCAGCAGACGGACCTTTGACCACATCTGTGATAAGACAGAGGCAGAGAGCTGCGGGGTGGGAGAGGGGAACCCCGTCGTGCACGTTAAGGGCACATCCTTCAAAGGGGCCTGGTCTGGCTGGAGAAGGTTGGTCAAAACGCCACGTCAACATATCCACTTGAACCCGAATGTGGAATTATGAGAGGGCAGAGGGGGGTCTCAGATGCCATGGCCACTAGTTAGAAGGGCAGGACACGCTGAGAGTGCCAGGGGCCTCTGTGCACAGAGTATTTTCATTACTCCCAATCTTCCAGGCCTTGCTGGCACGGAAATAAATCAGTGTTACCTATGCAACTCTGAGGAGGTCTGCCACCCTGCCTTGTGTCTTTGAAGCACTAGAAGTACCGGAGGACCCGGTGACATGCTGGGAAGCCAGGGGAGGGTGGAAAAGCTTCACCTGGGCTAACTGCTGCTGACTTCCGGCCCCACAGCAAATGGCGTGAGTTGAGAATCCTGGGTCAAGAATGGCTTTGAAAGCGTGATGTGTGGGCAAGGACCTGTGGCATGACCCAGACAGATCCCCACACACCCTGGGTCCCAGCGGGACCGGCCAGACGTTCCTGTGCTCTCCTGGCCTAGAATCCCACTGCCGTGGCTTCTGCAAGGAGCACGGAGCTGCACCTTCCTCGAGGCCCGGGCGCCCATCACCAGCTCAACGTGCACTTTGTCGCTGGGCCAGAGAACGTGGGGTGGCAGCCCGGGAACCAAGGGGGCCTGGCGTCATTCTGGGGGTGACACACACACGCTCAAAACAACGTGTGTTTTGAGCTCTCCCGAAGCGGGCTCCCCACGGCCCCATCTCCGTTAACCGCTGCCTGTCGGTCACGGCTAATGAGCAAGAACCGAGCAAGAACAGGGAGCGGAGGGGTCGGGGGAGGGGAGGAAATTAGAAGTCACATCTCATTAATCCACAAAGAGAGGCGTCCGTGCACTTCCTCACGCCGCCGGGAGGGAGAATGATTAAGAAGGCTCAAGCTGCCACACGGCTCTGCCACAAAAGCCCCCGCAATAATGGAAAATATAATCGATAGGAAAAAATCAAATGCGGCGTGTGTGACTATGTGGCAGCCAGCTTTGCCAAACGTGGCGACAGACCCGGCGCCGGCGACTCCGGCTGGGTCCATACCCGACGCGGTCGCGGCAGCCGGGAAAAGTAAACAGAACGTTCACGTTAAGGCTGTCGCCGGTTCTCAGGGCTGAGATGAAGAAGTGAGAATGATTTGGGGCCATTAGAAAATTCTCTTAATCAACAGGGATTTGACATTTTTTTTTTTTAATTTTGTGCAGGGCCAAACTATGATGGTAAATAAATAAAACACCACTGCGGGGTAGGGAACCCAGAAGAAATCGGGAAGCTTTCTGTACATGTTAAAACATGGTCACGGGAACAAAGATATTCGCTTTTTAGTTTTCTTTTCCCAAGCACGGACACATACCTGAAAAGCATGTGAAGGCTGAATCTAGCAAAGGAAAATCATATGATGGTTAATTAGGGAAACAGAGCAGGCATGTGATGGTGAACAAATACCACGGGAGAGGGGGAGGCAGACAGGGGAGGGGTCCCCGGCGGCGTGCTTCCCTGGTAAGCTGGACAGAGGACACCCAACACCTGCCACCCATGTGAGCCTCATGACAGTCCCAAAGGTCCACCATCTTCATCGTTACCATCGTGCCCATTTCACAAATGGAAAATACAGGGTTCAGAGAGGTCAAGGAACTCCCCTGGGGTCCTACAGCATCTGGGTGATGAGCCGGAGTGTGAGTCTAGGTCCAGTTGACACGGAACATTTCTCAAGTTCATCCGCGGTTCGACAACCCCCACAAAGTCAAGAAAATGAGCAACAGCATTATGCGTGGGGTCTTGCCATCACAAAGCTGAGGCACCTTAGGGAATGGGATATCCTCTTCCCTCCTTGGCTGGGAGCCCTGGGCCAGCTCAGCTTGGATTCAGCAAGGAAAGTTTATCCGGAAATGGGAGCCCAGGGTCCTCTGTGGCTGCTGCAAAGGAATTCCCGAAGTTCCTGCTAGAGGCCTGTCTGGTCCCGTGTGGATGCCAGGAACGAAACCGTACACTCCCCACATCACACACAGGCAAGCTTCGACCGAATGCCCTGGTCTGACCCCCAGCGGACGGGAGGTGTGTGAAATGGTGTTAGTCACACACTGGGCCTCAGGACACACCTGCAGCTTGAAGCCACTTCACACCTGAGTGTGGGGTCAATGCCCGGCCCTTCTGGGGACCCATGCATGGGACACGCCCACGATGGGCACAGTTCTGCGTAAAAACACTCTGGCCCCAGCACCAACACACACATGCTCTCTGCTCCTCTGCTGGGTTCACTTTTCCATCTGATACTTCCTTCCAAGTCTACATCTACCCATCTCTGACCCTGCAGAACCTGAATAGCTCGGGGCTAAGAGCAGACCACAGAGCCAAATAGGTGTGGCTCTGTCCCCTTTCTTGATTGGAGAGATCCCTTCAGAGTCCAAGCGCCGGTGAACTCATTCATAAAATGGGGAGTAGCCACAACCCCCCAAGACTATCAGAAGGACTAAGGAGGAGTCTGTATAGAGCGTTGGTGGACTACAGTCAAAGGCAGACTACATTCATGACTACCCCCATGCCAAAGGTAAGGGATGGCTGGGTCCCTCCCTGTCCCAGCCATCTATTACCATTTGGCTCTACAATGACAGCAAGGCCACCAGAGACTTACTTCCGGCGACAGTGTGCCAGGAGGCCCCATTGACTGTCCCGTCCTCTTTCTGGAAGTCCTCTGTGTGGCACACCCTCCGCCTGGCGTCGGTCATGAGGCGGTGCGTGGAGGCGTAGGAGTAGGCCAGCCAGCGGAACACGTGGTCATCAGGGGTGGGGCTGGGTTCCTGCGTCTTCCACAGGGACCGCACCATGTCGTAGGGGTAAGCCACCACCAGCTCGCCCCCCTGCAGGTTGCCGCCCAGGACAAAGGGGATTTTCTCCATCCAGGCTATGACAGCCCTGGTCTCCACTGCCACCTGTGAATGAGGCACATTTAAACAGGCTTTGAGAAATAAAGATCAGAAGGAAACTGCTTCCTCTCCCTACTTTCCAAACAGGGACATGGTTGAAAGAACAACCATTTTGTGGAATACTTGCAGCAAAAAATGTAGAATTTCAAAATCGGCTGAAGCAAGCTAGATTTTTTTTTTGCAAATCATGGATAGGAATATTTTCTATAGGAATATCCCAGTTCATGCCCAGGGAGAAAAGATGGAGTTAGCGCATCAACACTTCTCAACTCCAGTGAATCAATGGACCAGGCATGTCTATCTCTGGCTCCAAAGAGCAGAGAAAGAGAGAAAACCAACAGAATAGTCTCCCTAGGGAAGAGCATACACACCCAAGGAAAACATCAACCCAGAATACGACCAGCCTCTAATCCAGGGGCTGGTAGCCTCTTTCTGCAAAGGACCAGATGGGAAATACTTTAGGTTTTGATGGCCCTGTGGTCTCTGTCCCAACTACCCAACTCTGTCCTTGTAGCAGGGGAAGCGCCAGAAACAACACGCAGATGAACAGGGCTGGGTTCTGATAAGACACCATGTACACCAACAAGCCTGGGCGGGAAGTAGCCCGCCTACAGGCTGCAGCTCGCCAGCCCCTGCTCCACAGAGCCTAGTCTGGTTGACAGCTCACGGCCAGCTTACAGGAAACACAGAAGCATAGGTTACATGACACGGAAAGGATACAGCTGGCAGCACCCAGACAGTGGAAAATGTGTCAAGACGATCTAATCCGGTTGCTGGTACCTTAGTTGTTACGAGATAAGCAACGAGCTGAACGACAGCAAAAGTGCAAGGAAAAAAGGCAGGAAGTGAAACAGGAGAAAGTTAAAGGAGACTGGAAAGCCCGTGCTCCTGACCACAACTTGGGAGCTTCTCTGGTTCCTGACTTCAGCTACAAGAGGGGCGCCCGGGTGTCTCGGTCGGGTAAGAGGCCCACTCCTGATCTGGTCTCAGGTCATCATCTCCTGGGTCGCGAGATGGAGCCCTGCATAGGGCTCCATGTTCAGTGCGGGAATCTGCTTGAGATTTTCTCGTTCCCTCTGCCCCCGCAAAACAAATAAATAAACCTTAAAAATAAAATCTAAGAGAGAGAATGATAATAGGGCAAATGTGAACCCTGACTGGATATTTCATAATACTAGAAATAATTGATTTTGATAGGATAATGGTAATTGCTCATGGTTTTAAAAGAGACTCTGAGCTTTTAGAGATACTTACCGAAATATCTGCACATGAAATGACGCCACTCCCAGGATTTGCCTCAGTAATTCTGGGGAGGAGGAGGATGCGGGTGCAGATGTAGATGGATGAGAACGGACAGATACTGAAGTTGAGATGGGAACACCAGGGCCCTGAAAGCTTTCACTCCAGTTCCGTACGGTTGGCGTTTTTTTATGATAAAAAGTTGAAAGAAAGAAAGGAAGAAAGGGAGGAAGGAACAAATGAACAAAGGAAGGAAACAAGGAAAAGAGAAAGAAGGAAAGGGAGGGAGGGAGAAAAGAGGGAGGGGGAAGGAAGGAACTCACAATGTTTGAAGCCAAAATTAGAAAGCCTGATATGGTCAATATTGATATGAATTCAATATTTTATCCTAAGTTACTGATTCCCATGAAGAGAATTCCCACAGAATAAAATTTGATAATGGGAAAGAAATAAAAACTGGAAATGGCTTGGCTGCGCAGTACAGAAAGTTGATTGAAGAACGAAATTAACTTAGGGTTCATTAAGTTGTGTTTTTCTTCCTAAACACATCAGGGGCCCTGGATGGGACTGTTGTAGAACTTGGCTCATTCCACAGGATCATTGCTGGTCCCTGCTTGTCCTCTGCTCTATGTTGATAGAATAAACACCCATTAACCCACCATCTGTGCCCAAAAACAGATCTTAAGGACAATTTCTATATAATATGTGATTCCCTCTGTCCCATCCTCCCGTTTTGCACTCAGAGGTAAGCATTGTATCCTCAATGATATGATTCGCATTCTTTTTGTTTTACCCTAGGTGTGTATGCTTAAAAATACATTATTTGGTTTTACTTGTTTTTGCTCTTAAAAAGGAGGGGGGTAACCATACTGATTGTTTTCTCCATTTTTTTCCCCTCAATTCATGTTTCCAAGGTGTATCTGTATCGTTGCAAAAAAGCTGTAGCTCAGTCCTTTCCACTTCAGTACAAGGATGTCATCGTTTAACTGTCCTTGTGATGGGGGCATAGAGGTAATTCTCAATTTTTTACTGTACTGAACAGTGGTGGGTTTTTTTTTTTTTGAGCTTCCTTTTGGTATACATGTGCTGAAATTTATCCTGCATAAATCACCAGAAGTGGGACTGCAGAGTCATAAGAAATACACATATTCTACTTTACAAGATAATCAAATTATTCTCTGAAGTCACGGTGCTAATTTACACTTGCACCCACAATGCATGAGAGAGCCACTGGCCCCATATCCTCTCCAACGCTCAGCTACTGTCAGACTTCTTAATTTGCCAACCAGTGGGTGTAAAATGTTCTCTTATTTGCATTCCTTAGTACTAGTAAGGCTGAACATATTTTCATGTTTATTAACCATATTTCCTCTTCCACGAATTGCCTCTTCATATTCTTTTACCCATTTTTCTATTGAGCCGTTTATATTTTTCTTATTTGTTATTCTTTATATATTTGGAAGTTTTAATTCTTTTCCAATTTCCTAATTTGCAAATAATTTCTCTTGGTTTTTAGCTTCTCTCTTATGGTTTTAAAATTTTGATGAGCAAGCTTTCTTATGTTGGTTATGTAGTTGAGTTTATTAATCTTTTATTTTATGATTAATGTCATTTAAAATAGCCTTCTCCCTGAAACTAGTTATCTGTATTATAAAGTTTCACTAAGAGATTTTCGTGGGAGTGATGATTAAATCTTATCAAATGAGTCTTTCAACAGACAAATCCCTTCATATTATTTCTTGGTTTTTCTCTTAGTTCTGCTCTTACTTTTTGATCACAATCTTTATACATTTTGGGGGGTTCTTCTGTTATTCATTTGCTAATTTCTTTAGCTAATTTTTAGCCTTTCTTTGGAATATAATCATTGAAAGGTATAAACTTCCTAAAAGTACAAGAGTTTTTGTGGTACTCCACCAATTTGGATACATAATGTTTTCACTGGGTTCTAATTATTTTTCAGTTGCTAGTACAGTCTTTTTCTTTGACTTATTATTTAGAAGTATTTTTCTTTAATTTTCTAAAGAGGCGGTGATATTTTCATTAGCCTATTTACTGTCTTCTGGTTGAACTGTATGTTGGTGAGAGCATCATGGTCTGACTCCTATTCTCTGGAACTGGCTAAGATTTCCCTTAGAGCCCAGAGCATGTCAATTTTTGAAAATGCTCCAGGGGTGGGGCGCCTGTGTGGCTCAGTGGGTTAAAGCCTCTGCCTTCGGCTCAGGTCATGATCCCAGGGTCTTGGAATTGAGCCAAATGTCGGGCTCTCTGCTCGGCAGGGAGCCTGCTTCCCCCTCTCTCTGCCTGCCTCTCTGCCTGCTTGTGGTCTTTGTCTGTCAAATAAATAAATAAAATCTTAAAAAAAAAAAAAAAAGAAAATGTTCCAGGGAATACTCAAGAAAATACATTATTATCTACCTAGTGGTTGTAGACTTCTTATAGATCCCTATGTCAAGCTGTTGACTGTTTTTCAAGTCTTTATCTTTGCTGACTTCTTATCTAACATAACCACAACTGAAAAAAGTGTTGGTGATAGAGGATCTGTGTAATTCCCCATGTGTTTCCCAAAGATGACAAGCTCAGAAAGCTAAATTCTAGTCTTAAAGCAAAGACTGATATCCAAGGACTTTCTCTAAGCTGAAGAATTCCTTATTTCTCCTAGCCTCAGGGCCAAGAACGTTGGCAACCATATTCAAATTCTGGTCCAAGAGTTCCCAAATGATAACATCACTTGAATTCTCAGCCTTACCAGACGTCATCAGTACGTTTGTTTGAAAGAAAACTGTGTATGGGGGTGGGGATGATTGTATAGGATGGAACTGGGAAATGAGAGAGAATACAGAAGACTCAGAGGCCCTGAACCCTTTATTCCCCATAAGCTACCCATGGGTTCCCTAGCCACACCATAGACACTGCCACTGTCTGTCTACATCACTTGACTGGTTGCTTCCTGAGGGCCTGGATAACACCATCCTATGCCTCCCTAAATGAGGCAACCATAGTGGCCTTCCTCCAGTAAGTGGTGCCTGCCCATGAGGTGGGCTGGAGCCCCAAGGCAGAGCAGGGGAGTTGCCTTCTATCCATTCATCATTTCTCCCTTGGTTCCTCATGGACAGAAGTTATTTTTATTTTTGTTTTCTTGAGCTTGCAATGTGCTTGCCTAAAATATAACATTTTCCAGCTTTCAGGAAGCCACAGTGGGTTGAGAGCATGTTTTGATTAGATTTTGGCCAATGAGATGGAAGCCTAAGTATGATGGAGGAAATCAAGGAATGATTCTTAAAATTAACTGAATTGTCTAAGAGGAGGATCTTCTGAATTCTTTTTTCTTTTTTGTTGTTTCTTAACGCCTTTTTTTGTTTGTTTGTTCCTTAACTCTTGCTCCCCTCTTCCTTCACAGCCATGACAGCTGGAGCACCCATCGCCATCTTGGATTTTGATCTTGAGAGTGGAAGTCATACACTAACATGGTGGAAGCAGAAAGATAGATGAGTCTTTGGTTCCTGATGTTCACAGGGCTTCTGTCTGGCCGGGCTTCTATCCTCTGCCTTTAGAGTCCTTCTATGTGAAAATAAATAAATAAACAAACTTGTCCCTCATTAAGCTGCTGTCATTTTGGATTTTTTCATTGTTCCCACTGAATCTAACCCTAACTCATATAAGCAATCAAAGCAGCCCTCCTGAAGGACATATACAATCAGAGGTCAGGGGTAAAAAGGTAGATGACAATGGGAAGGGGAGGCCATAAAAGGCATGCAAAATTTTGTGAAAATTCTTTCTCCCACAACACACTCTTTGGAAAAGAAGACTGGAAAATTTGAGGGAAGCATTTCTCACTCAATGCATTTCTTTTCTTTCCAAAGAAGCATGATGTGTAATGATCCATGAGGACTTACTGAAATAAAATTAAGGTCTCTCAAGCAATCAGTAAGTTCTAAGGACAATTTCATAGCAATTCCATAGCATGGCCGAAGCTGAGAGTAATATGGACGGTAATATGGCAGGGTTTTTGGCTTCTCTTTGTTGTTGTTGTTTTTAAAGCTGTGTGTGGTTGTAAAGAGACCTAATTCAACGATTTCTCTTTTATGAAGAATATCTGCAGATATCAACTTTAAAGGTAGTTATTATCTAGCACACTTCCCCGCTTTGGGAGAAAACATGAAAGGGAAAAAAAAAATGGTTTTGTCTTGTTCTTAAATGTCAGATCTTCCGCAAATACCAGCGGGTGTTAACTTTGGCCTTCCACTGCTCTGCAAATGATGGGGTATTTTTACTCACCGTGGCATTTTCAGACAGAAACCACTCAGGGATTGCAATATAGTGATTGGGAACTTTCCTTGGAATGTTCTGTCGGTCCTCTGCCTCCCAGAGCAGTGTGTTTAAGTCGGGGAAGTTGTTGTTGATGTCGATTCCATCATGGGTCCAGCGCCCCAGGGACCAGCCACCCAGCTCCGAGCCCTGGGAGACAATTCCAAACGTGAGGGACCACAGGCTTCTGGACTTCTCCCACAAAAGACGTCCCTGTCTCCAGGCCCACCATCCCCACCTGGGTGTGTCTCTAAGCCTCACAGGTCCTCTGGCCCAAAGATGGCCCCCAAAAGAGAACAATGAAGCCCTCTCTAGTACTACCACCACAAGTAGGTGGGGGGTAATACCACCAAATCACCCCAAGAAGGAAGGCAGAGCCTCACCCCAGCCACATGGCAGTGTTCAAGAGGTATTACAACCCTTCCCCCCAACCTTCTATCCCCCTAGAACTTCTAGACTGGTCAGATAAAACTCTGAGTAGGAATGAACCCAAGAGTCCAACACTGCAAAATCAACCACCACCGCATTAACACAGTCTCCCAGCCATGCCCACGAGTCTGGCTTGCAAACCCCTGACCAGTGGACCTTACAAATCGGGCACCAAAAGTCCCTGACCAACTCGGTGCCCATAAACACAACCCCAATTCCATATTATCAGGCATACGTGTGACAGGTACCAAGTACAGTCTTACACTTTATTCCCAGATAATACTAATAATAGTCCATCCACAACGTAACCTGCACAAAGCCTATGCCACAATTAGAACATGAAATGTAAACGATCTCTCAGAATAACAAAAACAGCTCTCTTCGGAGCATCGAGAGCATGACAGGCCACAGATGAACTGAGGATCTGCCTTGATGGGTGCCTCCTCCAGGTTCAGCGTTCCTTTCATTCTCTTCTACTGGATTATTCCCTCGCGTTCACTTTTTCCAGTGCGTTGGCCTGTCTACCTCTCAGGTGCCCACGATTCCCAATTCCTGCTTTGCACCTTTCGGGAACCCTGTGAGTTTACCTGCCCTCGCGGAGAGACACTGAAAGAGAAGCCAGGACATGGAAGAGAAATTGACTCATGGCCCAGCGGGCTCTGCCGGGGGGACCTAGCGGCTACCCCGCCAACAGGGGGCGGCATCATTACCCCTTCGTAGGCCTTCTCGTAGCCGTCAGGGTTGAGGGATGGGAGGATGTGAATCCGGGTCTCCTCCACCAGGTGGACGATGCGTGTGTTGCCGGCCAAGTATTCTTGGCACAGGAACTGCATGAGCAACAGCGTCAGCTCCCGGCCCAGCACCTCGTTGCCGTGGGCCCCTGCGATGTAGTGGAACTCTGGCTCGCCTTTACTCGAGGACAGGAAAAAATACAGTCCATATCGGCGCTACTAGCAGAACAGCCCTTACCATTTAGGATTAAAAAGATCTCTGAGTAATAGCAACTTACAGTTTTACCCCATCTCGTCTTACAAATGGGCCCCCCAAGTTCTATCACTACCCTTTTTTAAAATTCCCCAATAGGTACGTAAGAAAATGTGTAAAAAACTCATAGATGATACCAGCCCCTGGGTAATCATATTTATTCTTATTTAGCGAGAACGGAGAAAGTGATACAGTGCGTAAGGTTGAAAATTCACAAATTAAACACAAGACAGGGCAATTATTTTTCTCTTTGGGGAGGCAATCGTTCTTCTCCAAAGAAGGTCCTATTAAATCTAAAAGGAGATAGAGATGGATAAACAGAAGCAGAAAACCGACCAGCAGGGGACATGGGCACTGACGCAATTTTGTAAGCGGGCTGCCTTTGAGTTCTTCTTCTCAGCTCACTTTCTCCAATGTTGGGGCTTATCAGAGCCCAGCATAGGCTGACAATACTTATTCTCTCACTGGCAAAGCAACTACTTTTAAGGAAATGTAATTTTATCTGCAGATCCAGTCCTTATACTTTCGAAGGAACTCCTAAGAGGAACTCCTGAAATACTGACGAATTTAGAGTTGAATGAAGCAGGCAAACCTCAGACTTAAATATAAGGGGATTTCTAAAAGACTCGCAGAGTTACCAAAAAGAAAACCAGAGAAGCCCCCCTGACCCAGAGAATCCAGATTCCAGAGTGACTGAAGGAGAAATGGCGGAAGACAGGAAATGCTCAAAAATGGAATTAAATTAAAATAAAAAATTAGGGGATCTCCCTCTAATTTAAGTCATTAATAACTTAAGTCCAAAATTTTCTTCTATAAAAGGATTCAGTCCTGACCGCCTCTGGCCACTTTTTTCTTTGGTCAGTGTGACCGGCCTCAGAGCTGGAGAACAGAACAAAACACGGTTCATTTGGAGTAAAGGAAGGTATGACTGACTCCCTTAAATAAGTCAACAGCCTCTAGCTCAGAACCCAAATTTGCAGACTCTTTGTGCGAGAGTGGCATGTGGATGGCTCCTGGCCTGTTTCGCGAGTGTTCTCTTGGAGGTCAGTGATCTCCTGGTCCTTTAAGAAGAAAACAGACATGGAGGGACAGGTGCGTCACAGCGGGGCAACCTCACCAACTTCGTGCTCGCCAGGGTGATCCGAGATCTCCACGGCATACAGCTTCAGCCCCTGGTGGCTCTTGCCGATGTTGTAAATTCGCGTGATGTTGGGGCACATTTCGTTCACGACCTTCATCAGCTGAAAAACAAAACAGTTAAGGCTCTGAGCAGGGGCGGCTAGATGCTAAAGGAGCCGAGCTCCCCAGACCACCACCTGCTGTTCCCCTCCCACAGCCCCCCTGCATGCCCTCACCCTCCCCAGACACCAGCACCATCCCCTCTGCCTGGAATGTTCTCCTCAGGTTGTAGCTCTCACCTCCCTTGGCTGTGGTCTCACCTTTGTACCGTGGCTTCCTGTTTTCTTTTTGTCTCCTTGCTAGACTACAGATCCTTTAAAGGACACACTGAGCCTTTGATCCCCATAACCCTGCCTAAATAGACATTTATTACTGAATATCCATTTTTTCTCATCATTTGGTAAACATCTTTGATGTGTCAGGCTGAGGGAAGACACGGCTCCCGTCCTCCTGGTGCTCACAGAGCAGCAACAAAGGGGTCACTGGATGGCCCAATCCACTGACGCTAAGTAACGGGGTGCAGAGAAGCCATGATAACAGCAGGTCATGTGGTGAAAAGGTGGAGAAAGCAGGCTTTGATGAGGAGGAAAAATTAGATGTGTGTCATTTCCTGAATTTTGCATTTAAAGTTGAGCTTGCTAGACAGACAACTTTGGCCTGAGTGGGTGAGACGAGCTGCCAGAGGAGGGAAGGGGGGCACTGCTAGTCACAGGAGCACAGGCTGCCCTTGAGAAGAAGGAGCAGCTGACTACAAGGGCCGGTCATCCACAACAGGGCACAAGCAGAAACCCGCCGTCACTGGGGAGACAGCATGCGAGGGAAACGTGGCTTCTGTGCCCATCACTGTGGGGGACACGCACACGCTACAGGGTTGAAGTGGGACCTCGTGCTCCGCACCACAACTTCCCAAGGGACACAGTGACAGTGTTACTAATAATGTCAACAATCACATTAGCCACACAGTCTATTTCTTCCCTGACTTTCCCTGTCATGACCGCCAGGTGAAGTAGGTAAGGCACAGTGATTGTCCCCATTCTACAGATATGGAGACGGAGGCTCAGAGAACCACTGAGGGATTTGCCCAGGGTCACCCAATGGGTACCAGGTGCTTTGGACTCAGGGCTCTTCTCCATCCCTGCAGGTACAGCAAAGCAACGAACACCAGCCCATCTCGGCCGCCCATTCCATCAGCAGCACGCCATGACCATTCTGAAGATGGCCGCAGTGCACTCACCCTCTGCCTTGGGGTCCCGCATACTAGTCCCTACGAACTCCAGCCATCCTCACCTCCCAGCATCAGCCTCACCAGAGGGCCCACTGCCTTGGTTGGGATCAATGACCAGTTCTGTAGACACCACCGAGTCATCTTTAACTAGGCAACAAACACAACCGTCCTGCATGCAGCCTGACTGTCCCTTGATGCCCACCCCAACTCTTTCCTACAGTCAGCTGCAGGAGCAACACGCCACCTGCATTCTTCAAGATCAGGACGTTACACTGGAGAACAAGCTCCACCTTCTGCCAGATGCACACTCAGTCATGGAGACATCTCTGTATGGAATGGCCTCAGCCGTGACATACCAGTCACCTCCTCATACCCCAGCCATCCTAGCATTTCCCTCCCGGCCACATTACCTCTTTGTGCTGTAGTGTCACGAGCACCTTTACACATGAAGATGACACAAGCATTTGAGGGGTCTCCTTTATGAAGGTTCTTTACAGTTCTCTCTGCACAGAGAGAAATCCTCTCTGAAATGCCAGGAAGGGTTCCCCAGGGGCCACCAGCCCCGTCAAAGACCTGGCTGGTGATCCACCTTGCTTATTCCTGAAAAGAGCCTAAGATGTCTTACTGGAGTTGTGGTCTTGATGGTTAAAGTGACAGTAAGGACTGGAACTTCTTCCTGGCCTCAGAGCATGCATTCTTTTCCCGGGGGGTGGGGGGCAACATCATCCCCTCAGAGGGGAAAACTGGTTGTCTGGGGCTAAAGGTCTCACACATCACAATGCTTTGTGGCCCTCCAAAGCTCAGCCCTACCCAACAAAATCTTACTCATTAATATTTAATATAATGGGTTAAGAAACTATAAGAATTTATTAATAAATAATTAACAATCATCAATTTATTAATAATATAATAAAATAATAATTATTAATTAATAATTAGTTAATAATTGTTAATATTTAATATAATGGGTTAAGAAATTATGAGAATTTATTAATAACTAACAATCATCAATTAATTGATTATTATTATTATTTTTTAATTTATTTGACAGACAGAGATCACAAGTAGGCAGAGAGGCAGGCAGAGAGAGAGAGGAGGAAGCAGGCTCCCCGCTGAGCAGAGAGCCCGATGCGGGGCTCGATCCCAGGACCCTGGGATCATGACCTGAGCCGAAAGCAGAGGCTTTAACCCACTGAGCCACCCAGGCGCCCCAATTAATTGATTATTAATAATATAATGAAATAATAATAATTAATAATTAATTAATAATTGTCAATATTTAATATAATGGGTTAAGAAATTGTAAGAATTAATAAGAATTAAGAAAATGTCTAAAAAGCTTCCTGGGGGGAGGGGGCGATAATGAAACCAGATGAGAATGATCACCCAGAGAGCACCTGGGTTTGCAGGGTCTGAGCCCCATCGAGACTCTGATTCCCCATCCCGGAGACGGGATACACTTTGCCAACCTTGTGTCTACTGAACCCTCGGTTCTGCTGCTTCCCTGCCCCTCTGCAGGAGAGAGAAACAGAGCGCTCTTCTCTAGCAATTCAGTTTCCAGTAATATACATCCTGCATAAAGGATGCTATGATGATAGGCATGATGGCCCTTGCTGTGGTGCTACACCCTCTCCCCGGGAGCACGGAGCCCAGAGATGTCCCAGTGCTCCAGGGCAAGAAGGCAGCAGGGAAGAGCGTGCTCCATCCGCTCCCTGGAACATTCTGCAGCAGCACGATCACAACTATGGGGACAGCATGGAAGGTGGCTCGTGATCCAATGTTAACTGAGGAACGAGGGCAAAATTATCCCCATCCTCTCATCAAAACTGAATGAATTCTGTGAATGCAGAAATAAACCCTGGACCGGAATGGGGGGAAATGCAAATGGCTGATTGTTGAGGGCGGTGGGCTCAGGGAAGATGGGCCTTAGATTTTGGGTTTGCATTTGATGTTGGCACAATATTGTTTCTCCAATGAATTAAAATGTTTTTTAAAAGGGTGGGGAGAAGAAAAAAGTCCCCTTCCACTAGCTTTAGTCATTTGCTTGGGAAACAGGCACTGTATCTGGTCCCATGGAAGAGGAGTCCCAGAGGGCGGGAGGGAGAATGGTGGTAGGAGGCAGTCCCGTGGTGAGGAGGTGGGCTTGTCCAGGTCTACCAGCGGGCTGCCCTGCCTTGGCTTCTTGCCACAATCACCCACACTCCCAGGCAGGCTCAGCCACAGCCCCTGACCCACCTTCACTGCCCTGGAAATCAATGGCCCTCACTGGCTGCCTTTGACCCACGTCTGCATCACAGCCTGCATCATGGCCAGCCAACCTGGACTGCCCGAGCATTGCTCCCTGATGGCACATGCCCAACACCAAGGTGAATTGTGAACCTTTTCCTCAAAACCACTTATTTTCCTCCCTTTGTGGATAGTACCCCACCCTCCTCAGAAGACTGCCCGACCCCTCTCTCCAAACTCATTCCAACAGGAGACCTAGGACTCACCAGTCCTCCTCAGAGCTGCCTCTCTCTCATCCCTCTTCAGGCCTGAAGGCCCCTTTCTTAGAGACCATGTTCATCCCCACCAGTCTGCTCCCCACATGCCTTCCAGATGGATTTCCCCAAAACACTGCTCTGCCATGTAAAATCCTCCTCTGGTTCTCAGATGCTATACAAAAGCCTCTCCCAGCACTTCGGCAAGCCTCCTCTCCTGGCAGACTGATACAGAAGCATGCCACTCTGCGCCTACCTCCAGCCCTTTGCTCAGGCTGCCTGGGGTGCCCTCCCTTCTGTCTCCACCTGCCCAAGGCTGGTCAAAGGCCCCGGACCATAGCCGACCCCATCTGCAACCAAAGCCCTTCCCCACCAAGCCAACCGGGCCGGTCACTCCTCCTTCCATCCCCCAGCTACCTCCCTGGAAGGGCCTCCAATGTACATATGTGTCTAGTACACACTACAAAGCAACACAGCCTCTGCCTTCAGGGTCCCAAAGGAAGGAGATGTATATAGACAAAGAGGTGACACGGCATTGAGAAACGGTGACACTTGCCACGGAGGCTGGAGCATTCCTGGAGGGGTGGCCTCACTCTGCCTGCAACACCAGCGTTGTGCAACCTGCTCATTGCCCTCCCCTCCCCTTCCCTTCCCAGCGCCTTCAAAGTCAGTGCTCTAGAAATATTTCCTGCACATATTCTCAGCACTTCCCATGCAATATGTTTTTCTATTTTCTCTCTTCTCTTCCTGCCCCCCTGCTGTTTCTCTCTTTTTTTTTTTTTTTTTTTTTTTTGTTTGTTGGAAATGTCTCTCTCAATACTAGGATAAACTAACATTTTTTTTTTTTCTGAAGTAGAAAGATTTCTATAGTAACCCAGCAGACTCCATACGGGGAATTGCTAAAAATGCTGGCTTCTTTTTCATCCCCAGGAGCCAGGAATCCAAATGGCAAATCAGTTCCGGCTTGAACACCCTTCAGGACTGAGAGATGCTCCCCAGAGCAGTTTCCAGCCGAGGGCTGTGGAGGCCTGGGGTCACCCACCATCCGTCACCTGCAGGAGCCGCACTGACCATTCCAAGTGTCCCCGTGGCTCTCCACGACCAGGTGATGGTCAGCACAGCTGCCCACGGGCACAGAGTGCATTCCACTAGCTCTCCTCTTCTGGAAGGATCCCGATTTTCTACCCAGAGCAACTCTTTACAGATACCAGCTACCCAGAGTCTCGGTGCAGTAGCTCATTTTAAATGCATTTAGATTCATTGCTTGTGACATTAATTGCACCAGCTGAGTGGATATTTGCCTAGCTTCTGGGCTCGCAAAGAAACCCTGACACGTGCAGTGAGCAAAGCTGTGTTAACCCGCAAGTGCTCCGCGCCATGGCAGGGTGGGCAGAGTCTTGTGAATGCAGGTGACTCACAGACCTCAGGTCCACACACAGTGTCCCAGCTTCTGAAGAGCAAGATAGCAAGACCATATCTTTCGCGGGTCCCACCTCTAAGTCTAGGCTGGCAGGTGTCTGGAAGGTCTGGGTGAGTGGCTCAAATTCAATGCCATTGAGACAAATTGGGTTTGTCAATTCCCTGGGATGAGGCGGAGAGGCCTCTGACCTCGGGATGGTGGGACTTGGACTGGACGGCAGGCTCCTTCCCTCGGCACCCGCCAACCCGTGCTTTGAGCCTCGCTCATTTGCCACGGGTGAATCCCTGTTCTGTAAATGTATCCATGAGGATATGTCCCTGTTTTGTCTCTTCAAACAGATTCTCAGGTACCCAAGGATTTCTCATTCGTCAGCCCTCCTTGATCTTTCCTAGCACCGTGCCGGCAGCAAAGGCCGGACAGGGTTTCGCAGGCAAAGCTCTCAGCAAGGGCCCTGCTCTTTCATCTTGTCCTAATTAACGGCTGAAGCCCCGTGAGGCATTCTCCACGTAGAGACTACAAGCATTCAGGGTGGTTTCAGAGAACCAAAACAATCATTCAGATTCCTCTATCCCAAACACATCACCCTAATCTCTAGAGGGAAAACAAACAACGAACAACGCTGTTCTTCTGGGTACAGGATATAACGGCCCTGAGAAATCCAGAACTTACCTGGCGCATTTCCTTGTGGCTGTGGTGCTTAAAATCCAGGTCGTCAGTGGTGGTCATTTCATTCCTTCGGTGATAATAGTTGTTTGGATCTGGGGACAGAAATACGGTTTGGAATTCACTCGGGTAATTCGGTTGCTTGCGGTGGCTCTGTGAGTTGCCTGATTCGCAGGGAGACACGACCCACTCTCCAGCTTCTAACAAGTGCACTGAGGTGAGAGTCAACTTTTGAGAAACATCTCAGGACTCAGAATTAGCCAGTGGTGGAGATGGACCTGGAGCCAGAATGCCTGGTTCAAATCTCCACTCTTCTATGAAGTGCTGTGTGACCTCGGGTAAGTCCCTGGAGCAGTCTCTGCCTCAGTTTCTTCACCGGAAACAGGGAAGAAAGGTACTTCCCTCATTGGTTCATGGTTGGTATTAGCTGGAATGCTCTATGTGCCTGGCAAACTGTTGGCCCTGAATGAATGAATGAATCAGTGAACAAGTATGGCAACGGTATACATAAACGGAAACTTCTGGAAGTATGGTACTTACTACTAGTTACTCATCCAGCATTCAGTCCACTTCCATCCTTCCTAACAGAAACACTGTGTGGTTTGGGAATCACCCCGGTGCTTCCAGGAGACAGACCTCGCATCCCAGCTCAGGGAGCCTGCAGGACTCATGTCAGTCAAGCAGAGCCCAGCACAGCCTGGTGACTCTTCCTGGTCCAGATGAAAGAGGAGGACTTCAATGGCACAGAGGAGTGACTGAGAATCTCTCCCGAGTAGAGGACAGAGAGAACCCCGCCAGCATCAGGATCTACTTCCAATCACATGACCTGTCGAATTCCCTTACTCACTAAGCCGGGGGGGGGGGGGGGGGCGGGGGCTGGGGCTGGGGTTTCTGTTGTTGGAGTCAGAGACCCCAACGGGCATGATCAAGCTCTGAAAACACTGATCACCTATGGGGACTGGGATTCAGGGGTCTAGGACGAGAGGTCTGCTCTTGACTTGATTCTCTCTCCCATATAAATTGACCTTTTCCTTTAATACATGTAAATAAGCCCTGTTGTTTATATAATTACGAGAACAAAAGATGTTCAGAAGAAAGGACAAGCTGGGGAAGAGGAGGGAGGAGGAGGATAAAAGGGAGGAGCCCTCAGTGGATCTGGAGGTCTTTCCCTGGACCCGACCCGCAGCCAGCCACATGGCATCTCCATCTGGACTGTGAAGCCAGAAATCCTTGCCCAAGAATATGCTGCTTTAGACACAGGGGGCTCTCCTCACCCAGGCATCCTGTAGGCAAGGCTGAAACCACAGCAGCTGTGGGTTTGGTTCAAGAGGCTCAAAGAGGGGGTCCAGAGGCAGTGGCCGCGTGCTGGTGGCTCAGCGATGAGCGTGTGCTCCGAGTGGTATCAGGAGCCGCGGGTCCCGACTTCTGCCACCAAAGGTGCTCCTCAGACCAGCTGCCTGTGAGACCAGCCCAGACCTCCTGAACCCGAATCCACAGCAAAAACAATCCCTGCTGAGTCCCCAGGCTGGGAGTCCGAGGGGCACCGTGTTAAAGTGCCGAGCACGCTGCAGCAGGAGCGAGGCCCCGGACACACCCTGCACGCCGGGGCCACCAACCGGGCCCCGGGCCGTGGCCCCCACAGCCGACCTTGCCAGGGTTTGCCCATTCTCACCTTGAGAACCAAGGCTCCCTGTAATGAGCTCAAAATCACACAGACACCCAGACACCGAAAACCAGATTTTAATATCCGCAAAAGTGTCATCTGCCAATAATGCCATGAGAGACAAGGACTGGGCCTGAAGGGAGTGAATGTGAGGCAGAGGCTGCCACTTGGCCCAGGAAAGAGCAGAAGCCGGTCAGGTTTCGCACAGGCCCCCCCAGCAGGTTTCTAGCACTTTCCATCTGGGGGAGTGTGGGCTGACCACACGCAAGCCGCAGTCCCCTGGGTTTCCAAACCTGTATGTTTCAAAGCAAAGTAAAGCATAGTTTTCCTATTAATTTATACTTCGTTTACCCATATGATGTTTTCTAAGAGCTACGCAGCACTCCCCAAGCCCCAGCGGCCTCTTTCCAAAACTCTTTAAAGCCCCTTTGTCTTCAAACACAAGTTATGCCTTCAAGGTTCTCAAAAAGGATTGAAGTAGAACTCAGAACTGTAAGGACAAAGGAGCTCCCCATTTGGCAACGTTCTGCCTTCCCTAAGACTAGTCAGTTTGCCTCAGGACAAGGGTACAAGTTCTGGAGCGGTCTCAAAACCACCGATCAGTTCTCCTCACAACTTCCCATTGTCTCACATTTGGAACAAGTAGTTGTTTGTCAATGGATTCTGATTGCATAAAGTTTTACTGAGGACCTATTAAGAGCTCAGTACTACAGGTGAAGAGAATAGGTAAAGAGAGGAGTAAGACCCAAGTCTGGCCCTCTTGGGGCCCCGAGTCTGCAATCCCAGCCAGTTAGTCAAACTACTGGCACCTTCTTCTTTCTGTGGGCAAAAGATCCCCTTTTCCTGTGGGGAATCCATTCCAGATGTTTCAGATAAAATTGCCGTGGCCAGCATGCACCATTTTGCACCATTGTGACCAAGGTCCAGCCATAAAACACGTGTCCTCTATCCACCGTCGCTGGCTCAGAGGTGATCCCAAGATCCTAGGAGCCAAGCTGGGAAGGAATCAGAAGACTTTCCTCCCAGAGCTATAGGGGGAGAGTCTCCTGTTGGAGTTCCTTGGACGGTGGGATGAATCTGGGGTATTGATCTCTCTGTCCATGAGACAGACACGAGGGGAGTCCTGACCCCCTGGGAGGATCCCGACATAGGAAACCTATTCTTGCCTGAAGCCAGAGTCAGAGTCCAAGCCACCCCGGGAATTTTCATGTAAGTGAGCCCAAATCCCTCCCCCCGTAAGCTAATCAGAGTAGGGCTTCTGGCATTGGAAACCTAAGTCCTGATTCAGTCTGTGAGGCCTTTATCCTCACAGATGGAGCTTGGGAGAATCAGTCTCCTACCTCCCTTCGAGTGTGTGGTTTCACACGTCATATGGGCAGAACACTAGCTCATTCCTTCCAGAACACCTTAGCTATGTGGAGGAACTCCTGACAGGGCGTGTGGAGCCTAAAACCATCTCCCTGACTTTTCTTCTCTTATTCAGCTACGTAAAATCCTGCTCAGCCTGAACTTGCCTACGGATTATGCCTTTTGGGGGTTGAATAATGCCCCCCCAAAGATACGTTGGAGTGCTAGCCCATAGCCCTACCAGATGGGGCCTTTTTTGGAGAGAGACTTTTACAGAGGTCAGCAAGTTAAAATGGGGTGATTCAAGTGGACCCTGACCCATTTGCCTGGTGTCTCTAGCAGGGGGGGTGAAGACACAGAGGTAGGCACGTGGGGAGAAGGTTCTGTGGAGCTGAGGGCACAGATGGAGTGGGACGTCTACAAGATAGGGAACCCAAAGACTGCCAGATGACTGCCCAGAAGCTGGGGTAGAGACGGGGACAGATTCCCCTCCCAGCCTCCCAAGGAATGGCCCTGCTGACGCCTTGATCTCAGTAGGACTTCTGGCCTTCAGGACCGAGACAGTAACAATATCTATTATTTCAAACCACCCAGGTCTGGCAGTCTTTACGGCGGCCCGAGGAGACGGCTAATAGCCAGGACATTCCTACCTCCTCACCGCCATGGACACCTGCTCTTCCCATCCCCACACACACGCCAGCTCACTCCACGGGGCTCTTTTCATGACAACAGTGATAATTCCAGGCCAAAACGCATTCCTGGAAATCCAGGGTGGGGGGATCAAGGTTCCCAGACTGTTCTGCTTTGCTGTTTGCTTGCTTCGGGGACCTTGCCTGACAGGAGTGGGCGCTCAGTAGGGAGTGGAGAGGCATCTTTGATGGAAAGGAGAATCCTGTGCGATCCGGAATCGCTGGGCTCATGATGCCTTTGACATTCCTCTCCAGGGCAGGCGATCCATAGAGGCAGAGACTAGAGGTCACAGGGATGGCGGAGGGGATCGGGAAGTGACGACTCGATGGGCCCTGGGTGGGTTTATGGGTCCACGAGGAAATTCAGAAACTGGACAGAGCTGGTGCTTGCAACACGTCATGAGTATGCTAAATACCACAGCCTTGTATCTTTAAAATGGTTCAATGGACATTACAAGAGATTCCCCTCATTTTTTGAAAAAAAGGGCTGCCTGCCTCAGAGTGCTCTCTAAGGACAAGGAGGCAACCAGAGGCTCATTGCCACAGCAGATCTTCCTGTACCTGCCTTGAGGCCAGCCTCACCCCAAGGAAGTGCCCGCCACTGCGTCCCTGTGACCTCAGCCCCAACACCCTCTGCACACATGCCTGAGTGCAGATGGCCTGGGACCAAATGCAGCCCGAGCACCAACGAGCTGGTCCCCCGATGAAAACAAGTCACCTCTGCCCACAGCCCACCTGACTGTTCTTATGACAAGGTCATGCCAAGAGGAGCCAGGGGAGGGCCAGGAAGCCCCAGCAGAGCCCGTGCTGCTGTCGGGTCATTACTGTCCCTGGAGCCGTCAAACCCAGGGCTGTAAGTGGTTCTGAAGGGGAGCAGCACATCACTCGGGCTATTTTCCTTTCACCCCCATTTCCTATAATCCCCCCGCACAACCACTCTGCTGGGCTGCACACAGAAGCCTGCAAGCCCTCTGCTCGCTCGGCTGACGCCACTTCTCCAGACAGTCCCAGGGCCAACGTGCAGCCTGAGTGACAGGAGGAACCCTCAGAAGAGACTTTTGTCCAGAGTGCTGATGTTTCTACAGTTCCCCAGCAATCAACATGGGGCGCTTGGACCAAGAAGAGAAACCGAGGCTTATTTAAACTCAGTAAGGGCACACTGCCCTCGGTTGCAGGGAGGACAGTGGCCACCAGCAAGGCTGGATTCCCCTGAAGTGAGCGGGGTTCCCTGGGGGTAAGGATGCCCGACACGCTTCCCTAGTTGCACTGCGAGAGCTCCTGGGGCAGTGAAGGCATCTGTCCTGTCCCCAGATCCCTGGGCCCTGCCTCAGAACAGGCACATCCTATGTGTTTGATGCAGGAATGCATGAGTGAGGAATGAATGAAGAGGTGGATG